GTTCTCCATTACCTCAAACTTAAAGACCCCCTTACCAATGACAGCAGTACAGAAGCCTCAGCAGGGGCCGTTCCGTGAGCCCATATTCGAAAAACCAAGGGGAGCAACCGATGTAGGGGCAGTTGCTTTAGGTTGCTGTATGATAAAACACCAAAGGCTCTCTGTTGCCACCGACGCAACGAAACGTTGACACGCCACAGACCAGACGGGCCCCTGAAGTAGAAACTTCCGGCCAGAAGAAGACCTGACGACGCGTGGAAGCAGTGAAGCAAACCGACGTATCCGTGACCCAAACCGCAACGCACGGGGACGAACTGGCGACCACGACGGCCACAACATCACCGCTCTCGTCAACACTGTGGCCGAATATTTCATTGTCAGTGGGCCTTTGGTGGCAAAGTTGAAGAAAGTGAAAACTGCTTGGCAAGGCCCTGATATCCAGTCCACTGGGGGTCATCTAATAACCCTGGCTGTTGTTCGCACAACGAGAGTTATCGTCGATAACCGGAGTTATCCCACCAGCTTTCTAATTGTACAGCACTGCCCCAGGGACGTGATACTTGGAATGGGCTTTTTGAGTCAACACGGTGTCATCATCGACCTAAGGTTTGAAGCAATAACGTTATCCACAGAAAAAGCACTGCCGCCACATATGCCGCCAGGAAGGCACACCTTGAATTTGTTTGTAGACCAAGTCACCGTTCCTCCTTGCTGCAGCGTGGGCATTTTCGTCGGCACTGAATAATCAACAGACATGCGGGCATAGTTGAAGGCGACCAGAACCTGTTGATCAACCGGGAAGTTTGCGTCGGCTGCTGGGAGCTAACGCAAGAGTGATGCTCACGAACTTCAGCAAAGAGTTTGCCTACATAAGAAATGCTGGAAGCCAGCAACACTTTTCACCGTCATCGATTCTGCCGAATGCACTCCGACAACTCAAGCGCTTCAACCAGCTTTCGACGTTAATCCGAGCCTTCTGACACATGAACAAGAACAGTTCAGAAACCTGCTCCTGAATCGCAAGAACTTCTTTTCTTTATCATCAATAATACCACAGACCCCCGTCGCGAAACATCGAATCATAACAAAAGAGTGCGCCAGGTCACTCCATCAGAGTTTGTACAGAGTGTGGACGCGACAATGCGAGGCCATAAAGAAACAAGTTGACAAAACGCTACATGACAATATTTCAGCCTTCAAAGAGTTCATGGGCGTCACGGGTGGTGTTAGTGAAGAAGAAGGACGGAACTCTATGCTTCTGCGTGGACTATCGCAGCCTCCCATAGATAGATGACACCCTAGATTGACTTCACAGTGCGAGGTGGTTTTCTTCGATGGACTTTAAGATCGGCTAGTGGCAAATTGAAGTCGACAAGAGAGACAGAAAAAAGACCGCCTTCATAACACTGGACGGCCTGTCCGAGTTCAAGGTCATGTCCTTTAGTCTCTGCTGTCTTTGTAGAGGGGGGCAATGCCACGTTCTTTTCTTCAAATTTTGTTATCAGCCCATTGCACTGTACGTAATTCTTAGCGCAAACTGTGCCTGCAGTGTTCGAGAAGTTCCGAACTGTAGTAAATAATTTCGTGAAAACCACAGCCACTCAGCGAACATCACAGATTATTCTGAACCCCACGTGGTCGCTAGTGATAACGCTAGAATATATGTCGGCACGTGTATGAATGCCGACGCACTTCGGGGCTTGTCAGTTGATCGACGGCCGACGCTCTGTTCACCGCTATCGGTGCCAGAGTGTATCGCTGTAATCTTGCTTTTCATTTTTTGGGCACATATTCGTCCCAAATAGTTTCATCTTCGATCTATAGTCTGCTCCCTTCGTCTACATCACAACCCAGTGACAATATTAAACTCTGAAACATAACTCACTAGCACTAAACCCAGCGAAACACTCGGTGGTAGGTGCCACTCACGCCTACAAAAACTAAATGGTATTTCTCCGTAGTTATTTTTGTGCATTTGTGCCTCGCATAGTGCTCTTCACAAAAATGGACGTCTCAATGTTCTTGACCTATGTGTGTTTAGTTTCAATATATTGTGAGTGCTGATTGTGTAGTTCATCTTCACCTGCGCATACAATTCATCGTGATCATCATCATCATCGTGTTCTCTCACTGCGTGTTCGGTTGATGGCTCGCGTAAGCCACGACTTGCTCTTGCAAAGCCTAGTCACGCTGCAGCAGGACAGCGCCGATTCTATACAATATTGTCACGGGGTCGTGATGACGATGAAGAAGCAGAGAGTACGTTGAAGATTAAACAGTTTATTTGGGCGAACCTGTGTTCGGTAAACGGAAAGACGGATCACAGTAGCAGGCTTGCACTGATAGCGGCGAACGGTGCGTCGATCGTCGATAAACTGACAAGCGGCAAAGCGCGTCGGCATTTATACACTTGCCGTTGAATGTTCTAGCATTATCGCTAGCAGTGATGAAGGCTCTAGAATAATTTGTATACTTCGCGGAGGGGAGGTGATTTTATCGAAATGATTTACTGCACTCCTCAAGCTTCTCAAAGACTGCAGGCGCGGTTTGCGCTGAGAAGTACTTAGTGTATTGGGGTGATAACAAAACTTGAGAACAAGAACGTGGCTTTGCTTCCCTCTGAAAAAGGCATCGTCCCGATGCTTTAATGGAAGATGAAAGTACAACAATAATGCAAGAAAATACAATGAATAAATTATGGTGCAGCATTAATAAAAAAAACACTGTTTCAGTTTGTTGACGCGCATGAAACGGCTTGAGGCGCGCGACATGGACGACTTCAGGTCGCGATCGGCGTCATTGAGAGTTCGTGATGCTGTCGAGGACAACCTGGTAATCAAGTGGGCCAAGACGTCGAACCACTCCTGTACGGACCGAAGTACCGTCGCAGAAGCTTTTCACTGAGTCCACATCGGCGCATCGGCATCCACACCCAAACACGTTCATCTGGCTGGTATTCACGAAGCGTCGTCCACGAGGCTGTCGGTCGTCTGTTGATTCCTTGATACGGAGTCGCGCGAGTTGCTGGGCTTCTTCCGCGCGTAGAAGGTACTCACTCACATCGAGGTTTTCTTTATCGGTGACGTTGGGTAACATGGCATCAAGCGTCGTTGCTGGGTTCCTTCCATAGACCAATTTGTATGAAGATATCTGCGTTGTCTCGTGCTCCGCCTTGTTGTATGCGAAGGTCACGTACGGAAGAATGGCGTCCCACGTCTTGTGTTTGACATCGACGTACATTGCCAGCATGTCCAGGATCATCTTGTTTAGCCGCTCGGTGAGGCCATTGGTCTGTGGGTGGTACGCTGTCGTCCAGCGGTGGTTTGTCTGGCTGTATGCCAAGATCGCTTGAGTTAGGTCAACAGTAAATGCCGTTCCTCTGTCGGTGATGAGGACCTCCGGGGCGCTGTGACGTAGGACAATATTTTCGACGAAGAACTTGGCTACCTCGGATGCACTGCCTTTGGGCAGGGCTTTTGTACTCAGCGTAGCGGGTGAGGTAGTGGGTAGCTACCACGATCCACTTGTTTCCAAAAGCCGACGTTGGCAACGGCCCTAGTAGGTCCATACCAATCTGCTGGAATGGTCCGCGAGGTGGTTCAATTGGCTGCAGAAGTCCTGCTGGCCTTGTCGACGGTGTCTTGTGTCGCTGACAGTCCCAGCAGGTCCAAGCATAACGAGTGACGTCGGTGGTAAGACGTGGCCAGTAGTACCTTTCTTGTACCCTCGGAAGCGTGCGGGAAACACTGAGGTGCCCTGACGTCGGATCTTGGGGGGGTTACGGACAAGTCCCGCAAACAGCTCCTGCTTGACTCCGTGCATGAGGAACCGAAGCTTCTTTTTCTCAACCATGTTGGAGTCGGCGTGTCGAAAGAGCCGGGTCATCTCTTCGACGAAGACTGTTGCGCTTTCATTAGGAAGTTGCACCCTTGTCTCCAGCAATGTGGCAGCCCTTTCCTTGCGGATGATGCTCGTGAACGTGCGCAGGATCATCGTCTGAAAAAGTTCCCAGGTTCGTAGTGTGGATTCGTGGTTTTCAGACCTCGTCTTCGCGATGTCTTCTAAGTAGAAATAGACGCGGCATAATTTTTCCTCGGGGTCCCAGGTGTTCAAGGCGGCGAGTCGGTCGTATATTTTGATCCAGCTTTCCGGGTCCTCGCCTGACGATCCATGGAACGTTGGGGGTTCCTTGGGCTGCCGGAGAATGACTAGGGCAGGCTGCACAGGGGCGGTCATTGTTGCTGTAGTTGATGTCGGGATTGGGGTCTGCCTGGCTGCTTCAGGAAGGGGCCCGTACTCTGGTTGTAGTCCCCTCTGCCCGCGGCTTGTTCGCTGTTCAGGGTTGGCGTCTGTGTCTTCTTTGCCACTTGGGCTGGGCTCGCGGCTTGAAGAGGGCGTCCAGAACATCAAAGAAGCAGCACCTCCACCAGATGTCAGAGGGTCATGATGTCGACAAAGAAGCAGAGAGTACGTTGAAGAATAAACTGTTTATTTGGGCGAACCTGTGCCCGGTAAAGGGAAAGTCTAATCACAGTAGCAGGCTTGCACTGATAGCGGCGAACAGAGCGTCGGCTGTCGATAAACTGACAAGCGGCGAAGCGCGTCCGCATTTATACACTTGTCGTCGAATGTTCTAGCGTTATCGGTTGCGGTGACGTAGGCTCTAGAATAATCTGTATACGTAATTCGCGGAGTGGGCGTGATCTTATCGAGATGATCTACTACACTCCTGAAGCTTCTCGAAGACTGCAGGTGCGGTTTGCACTGAGAATTACGTACTGTGTTGGGGCGATAACAAAACTTGAGAACAAGAACGTGGCAATATGTATGTGTTTCACATGTCAGACAGGGCTTCCGACTCTTCAGGACTTTTCTGCACTTTTTATGTTTGCCTGCTATTGAAATCCAAGGGTTTAAGTTCAGCACAAGTCTTATTAGGTGCTGATGGGCGTGAAATAACTGTGAGCAGTAAAAGTTGTTATTCTTTGTTTTTTCTGCAGCAAGCGCTGATGAACTCTGCCATTCTTATTCAAGAGAGTGGAAACTCAAAGCTCCGTCAACTGGCATTTGAAAGGTAAAAATCTAGTTTTTTAGTCAAATTCGAAAGATACGTTGTACTGGAGGCATTCTCTAGCATGCCACTATACAACTGTTATTTAGTTATGGGAGTGCAATAGGCCAAATGTCAAAAGGCACTAGTGATCTCAGTAGGCACTTCACGGCTTGTAATCTCGATCTAAAATTTGAAAATCAATTTCAGAACACCATTTTGGGGTGAATATGGGGTGAATATCAGCACTCAAATTTTGTTACGTTTAACCATGCGAAGTCATCTGATCACGTAGAAATCACATCAGCGGTGCCTTGAGGCTCAGTGCTTGGGCCGCTTTTGGTTTTGGTTATTGTATAAGGGACGTAGCCACGATTATCATTAACACCCAATTTAAATTTGAAACTAATGCGGGCAACTGCGTACTCTGTGAAATCATCTCTAATACTCGAGATCAAGATGCGCTGATTACCATTTTTTTCATCGTTTTGTAACACGAGGGAAGCATGGTAATTGTCTAGTAACTGCGAAAAGACCAAAGTCATGACATTTCAAAATGATAAATGGCCACTTCATTTTGCATATACTAATTACGGTGTAACTTTAGTACGTATCATGGTGTTTAAATACATTAGTGTAACTCTCTAAGAAACAGTACAATATCTTTGAAAACAGTGGTATCTCCGACACACGTTGAGCAATAGACAAAGGGATGTGGATTGGCAGCACATAAGATTTTGGCCAAACTCGAATATAATATTTTACATTTAATAATTACGGTGTAAGTCTTGTATATGTCAATGGAGTTTAAATACGTTGGTGTAACTCTTTCAACAAATTTTAAATGTCCCAGTATTACAAAACAGTACAATATCTTCGAAAACATTGGTATCTCTGACACACGTTAGGCAACTAGACAAAAGAAAGTGAACTGATTGCGCATAAGATTTTGGCCAAACTCGAATCAGCGTTGGTTGTTTGGTGACCTGACCACACACATGACATAGCTCTTTCAGAATCTGTTGAAAAATAATACTGCCTATATTTCGTCCCTTTGACCAATGTTTCTCGTTACTTTGCATGCACATGTTTTATCACTGCAGTCCCTGTCCAACACCGGCACACTTGCAATCGTGTCACACTCCTGCATAAATAAGATGGTTCACACTGGTTCCAATGTTCAGGCACCCATATCCTTTGTTGAATCTACTGCTCATCGTACCCGGTGATTTGATTCTCTAAGTATTGTGCCCATTACATCAATTTAAAATTGTTTTCATTTTCTTTAGTTTGTCGCTGACTTTTCTGCGGAACCTTCATTTTTGGAATGAGTGTGACGGTTGCCTGCGCACACTCGGTTCTGAATAATTGGAAAAAATAATTGCGTGAACACCATCATCATCAGCCTTACTATACACCCACTGCAGGGCAAAGGCCTCTCACACGATCCGCCAATCAACCCAGTCATGTGCTTTTTGCTTCCACGTTATACCTGCGAGCCTTCTAATTTCTACGGCTCACCTAATTTTCTGTCTTCCCTTCATGCATTTGAAGTACAATTTTATTCAACCAGTATTCTGTTTATTTGCTATAGAAAGAATCACTGAACAATTTTTTCCTGCATGCTCACATCAACAATTTTCACATTCTTGAATATAAATGCTACTCTCTTCTCCAGGATTTGAAGTTAGCTGCTACTCATGGCTCCAAAATGGAAAATTTTGCTGCTCCAGATTGTTCCGAAGTGGAAAATTTAGGTGCTCCAAAGTGCTCTAAAATAGAACGTTTCACTGCTATAAAGTGCTCCAAAGTGCTTACAAGTGAAAATTTTTCTGCTCCTGAAATCGCTCCAAACCGGAAGACCTCAGTGGCATCACTGTATTTCATATGTGTTTTCTACCACGCAGCCATGTAAAAGAAATCGGAATAGCACACTGTATGTTGGTTTATAACTATTATGAATTAGATAGTTACACTGGTACAATGTATCAAATAAGAAAAAAATACAAGGTACAGTTAAAAATAAGAAGTACCAAGGAGGTGGTAAGTCAAAACTGTTGAGAGATTCAGTGACAATGGACCTAAGAATTGTTTTCTGAAAGACCAGAAAAAATCCTTCAAGCGCTACAAGCGTGTTGAAAAATTGGCGTGCGTATTGCAGAATAAACAGCCAGTATGCACACACTGCTGCAAGTTCATTATCTGTACATGACAGTGAATCATTTTGAATGGTCCTCCATAAGCCTAAAAAAATCTGCCTCCTTCGAAGAAATTCTAATTGAAGGTCATACAAGATGTTTTTGGTATGTCGTCCTGTATTGACAAAGTGAAAACGGTATTCTGAGCGTAAGAATAAGCTATGCTGCTTTGCTTAAGTCTTGTACACTGCACCAAGTTGCTCTAGTAAACATGACAAGACAAAACAAGGTTAAAACATATTGGAAACGCTGTCTACTATTAGCCCCAGACTTCTGGGGAGCAAAAAAAAATTATTTTTTTATGTGTGCACTATAACTTTCATTCAAGCGGCAGATTGAAAATATATAGTGTATCCCACAAAATAAAGGGAGCCTAAAAAAATCATTTTCAAGTAATCACTTCAAAGAAGAGAAGCTATATTTGATTAACAGGTTGTGGTATTAATTTTATTTCTGAATTGTGAGCGAACACAATTGATAAACTACGTTCGTTCTTGGGTAAAATACGAATAGATGAAATTCAATTATCACCGACACTCATATCTACTGCGCTCACGATGTTGACACAGATGAATAACCACATGTGTGTTGCCTATTGCTTCAGCGAAAATCCTGACGTTTCGTTATTACATGACTGCAAGCTTTGTGCACGCAATGAAAGAGCACACGAAGCTAACAGCCATCTCAGACCTGGGCTTACTACTTAGCAGCTATAACCGCCGCCACGTGCAGTACGCACAGCCGGACCGACTAAAGTCACGCTAACCTGTCCCTCCTTTTCACAGCACACACACCTTAATCACTCCCTTGCTTTTTCCCTTTTCATCTGTAGCTTTCCCGATGAGAAGGTGTGCGTTACGACAAATTGCCTTTCTCCTCACAATCGCACACTTTTCTATTCACCAACAGCGTATGTGTTCTATCCATAGTTGATATGCCAAGAAATTTACGTAAATCAAAACAGAGAAAATTCAAAGCCAGCAAGATAGTAATGTGTGCTGATTACCTCAATTATTCTCTACGATCTGATCTTCAGAAAGGTATAAGAAATATCACGCTGAAAAAAAAAAAAAAACTCCTCATAACATTCAATTTGGCATAACTCGAAGTATACAAGCTCATAAAGAATAGCTTATTCATGCTATTTTGCTCTCACTCGCCAAAATTTCTTGCGCGGACATTGACCATCGAATTTCAGAACCGATTCAATTCATCGACTCAAATATTTGGCAGGAGCGTCCAATCTTTTTAATAAATAACAGTAGAAACTTAAACAATTTGCATCGTGCACGCTATTTAGGAATACAAGTACAGTCGAACACGGATATATCGAACACGAAGGGGATTGCGAATCAGTTCAATATATGAAAAATTCGATATAAAAATATACAGGAATTGAGAGTTTACCTGTAGCTGACCATTACCTACAATAGGTGCATTCAATGATGACAACTAAGTCAGCACAGGCTGCAACAGAATGAGTTACTTGTGTGAAAAAATAGCTCATTTTGGCTTGCTTCTTTATTTTAAAAATGAAGTTGAAGACGCTAGTCTTGATCTTACCAACCATGTCTAGTTGCGGCAGCCCGGTTCCCTTAATGAGGCCGATACAACGGTGAATGGACGCTGAACGCTGCCGCCATTTTGGTGGTGAAGTACGCACGTGTAGCCAGCACCTCGTCCAGACGATCCTCCTCGTCACATGTGAGCGGCCTGGGCATCCTGGGTCCCTACGGTCGCAGCTACTATGTCCTCATCAGTGAGGCTCGCAACGACCTGAACATTGCCGTCCGCTTCCTCGAAATGGTGTGCTGACACTTTGTGTAGAACTGCTCCCGGGAAGAGGGACGACAACTCACAAAAGGCGTAGTCTAAGCGCTCGTCGTTGCCGTCCTCACCGGTTTCCGCAAGTACGGCCATCTCGAACCTGCCTTGCGGAAGCAGTTGATCACTGTGTTCATCATCACGTCTTGCCAGCCATTGAAGATCTCCATGAGAAAAAAGTTCACAGAATTTCCGGAAACACCGTCTCCCACTCCTGCATGTCCTGGTTGCTGACAGCTTTGCTTTAGCCAGAAATGGTTTTGTCTACAATGTTGTAGCACTGCTTAGATCGGTGAAACCACCCAGTGTGGTTGACAAAGTTGTCTTTACCGAGCACAGCGGCGAACCATTTGACCTTGACTATCAGCATCGGGCCATCCACCGGAATGTTCTTCACGCACACTTCTAAAAACCAGGCATAGAGTGCCTTTTCTACATTCCAGGGCACATAACCAGCTCCCGACGTTCGCTGCTCCGTCACCTTTGCCTCGATATCTGCATTGTTCTCCAACAAGGTACTCAGAGTACTCCGTGGTATCCCGAAGTCGTCCGCAGCGGTTGAACATTTCTTGTCCGCCCCAACACGCTAAATAGCCTTCAGCTTCATCACAAAGTCAAGGGTCTTGCGCTTATTGACGCTGGTCATAGCTACACGAGAAGTTGACAATTCAAGGAGTCCGCAGCAGCTTTGCACATCACGCACGCTAAATAGGAATGCTGCACATGCGTTGGTACGTAGGCGATGTGACAACGGAAGCAACAAATCGCTCACGAGGCAGTGGCTGTCTATGCGGGCAACAGCAAAAGACGCGAGCTGTGATTGGCTAATCAAAATTCCCAAAACAGCAACAATAAATTTGAAAAAAGACGAAAGGAGGAGGACGTTCGCTCTTTGGTTCTAGCTCTCCGAGCTGACGGGTATGCGGAGAAAGCATGAGGAAGAAAGAGAGAGAGAAAAACATGAAAAAAAGGGAAGAAAAGTCATTCTGTAAGTTAGGGACT